AGTGATCTAATGACACAAGATACCTTTTACGAATGGATTAATTATCACGATAGATACGTCAAAAGTTTACGCGTCGGTGCGGGAGGGGATATCCCCGCCGCGGTTTCGACGGATCATTCGTACAGCGTGGAGAAGCGAGACGAGGAGGAGGAGGAGGCAGGATGCAGCGGCGGCGGCGGGCTCGACGCGTTGTTCGACCTGACGGAGCCTGTCGCGATCTCGATCGTATTCCGCAGCATATATCGAAGATGAAAGATCGACAGATGCTTACCGTAAGGTCCCCCGGGGAGATCGGATCACAGTTGATCCGTCTGGACGTCTACGACATCAAGGATATCGCGAACAAGGAGAGACGTGATTGGTGGAAATACGCGAAATTGCGATCTCAGATCCTGACCACTTTGCCGCGTACGGATCGCAAGCGATTATTAGTGCGTCAGTTATTGGATCAAGCGGCGGACGATTTGAGGAAGATTCCCGGGGTTACAAAGGAGACGAGGAACGTCATACATGAAAGCGGCGTTTAAATATATCGCGAACATGCACGTCTTAATAATGTTTTTGAAAAAAAGACTTATTATTATATTCTTTTATCAAGATACACGTTTATTTAACTTTTTTTTTTTTCATTACAGAGGTACATCATACCGTCAGGGGCCCCCAGTAGAACCACCCACTACTCTACAAAAAAAATGTAATATGTAGAAAAAAAATACATTATCTTAACTACAACACGGCTGTCTCATTTCTATAATACAATAGCGTTACAGAATGTCGAGACGCGCGCGATGTTCCGCCCACCAATCGTGTAACTTGCACACGTTCTCCATGGCGCAGTTCCTCGCGTGGCGTCTGCAGAGGAAAGATCGGATCGCACTGAGAGTCTCTAGTCGACCGATGTCCTCGTATTCGACGTCCTTCGACTCGATCTTAACGTTGAACTCACCGACGGCGTCGCCGAGAATCTCCTCCAACCATCCTTTTTTTTCAGCGCCTTTCACGTAAACGAGTTTGAGCGTCTCGCAGTTCAGCCTATCGCACACGGCGCTTCGGATGATCGTTCTCGCCCGAACGTAATTCACGTCTCTATCGTTCCATTTAAAACCATGATGATTTGCCGTCAACCAGCACGCCCGCGATTTTTCCGCTCTTGTTAGAAGATTCCACGCCAATGGCGCGCGAAACACGTAGTGAATCAGTTCCTTTTCGTCTCTGAGCACGGCCACTTCTTTAACTGTGAACTTTTCGCGGATAACGAATCCCTGCAGATCCACGAATATCGGTACGTCGCGGTCGGCGGACATCGTCTCTCTGTACGGTCAGTCGCTACCCCCACTCTGTTTGAACCTGCAGCTTATCGCGATTTCGTCAGACGAATAGATACGTTCTTCTTCTTCTTCTTCTGTTTTCCTTTACACGATCTTGCGGACTATGTTAGTCAGCGGATTGTACTCGATCACGCAATTGTGGATGATGAGACAGTAGGCCGTCGTATTGGAATCTATATTACGTTTGCAATCGAACTCTATGCGAACGTCTACGGTGGCGCTTTTGACGGATTCGTTCTGACGAGAACAGTCGATGACCACGAACGGGCCCCATTTGTCGAATTCTTCCATCGTTAGAAGCGCGTTCTCTCGCATCCGTAATACGACTTTCGAAATTTTGCGTACATCTCGTACAGTATGGCCGTTCTACGCTTCTCAAAATCCAAGTTCATATCGTCGTAGGGATAAAAATCTGAATTAAGGTACAGTTCACATTAGTGAGATTACCGTCGTCGAACTCGAAGGCGTGTTTCAATAAGTTGTTGGACCTCCCGGTTTGTAGCGCGAAAATGACGTATCGCGGTTTCTCAAGCTGCGTCGCTGCTTCCACAGCCCACGAATGCCTGTTCGTGGTTTGGAGCAAAGGGTACTCGTACAAATCCCACGAGCGGAAGCCCATACTTAGGTATTGTCCGCTCTCCAACGTTCGTAAAAAGGACAATTTATTGACGTCGTTCAGCACCACGTGCGGCATTCGCCATTGCACTTTCAACAGAGTAATCGTAGGATTCTTGTGACGTTCCGGTTTCGTGACGATGCAATTAGCGTCGATTCGGGAACGTATCAGAATGAGTTCGTGTCGCGCGTTTATCACCACGTGTTTGTAATCCTCGCAAAAACCTAGCAGAACGTTAAGGGGTACGCAGAAATTGAAATCGCCGATTCTAGTTCTCGAACGAGGTCCCACGTATTCATTGATCACAATCCATTCAGCGTTTTGCAGTTTCCTGCTTCTCTCGGTGGTCAACGACACGAAATTCTTGATCGAACTGGTTATTCCGACGTTTCTGTTCCTGTCGATCTCCACGCCGTTGAGTTCGTATCAAATCTCGTCGAACATGAACGCCACGCAATTGTTGTCCATTGTCGTATCCGAATTCTTTTCCGGAACGCCGTCGGAGAGTACTCCCTCGATGTACAGAAAACTTTTGCAGGTTAGAGTGTACAGATCCTGCTGTTGTATTGGAATTCGTATTTCGTCGCTGTGCCCGAACGTGGTATTGGCATATGGATTGTAAGTGTGTGTCTCGATCTTGACGATGCGATCGTCGAAGATCGGCTCACCTCCTATACTCAGGATGTCGGTCATGATCGTTTTTCATGACGAATCCCAGAGATCGTAGAAAAGCGACGTTTGCAGCGCTCAGTCCGTTTTTCTTCTTCTTCTTCTCTCTTACAATCGGTCTGCGCGTTCCTTTCGTCGGAGCACCGAACGATAACGTTCGCGGTGCAATGACGGATGCGGCTCTTGCGAACGAGTCGTTCAAAACGAGCATCTTTCGCGCACGCACATATCCGCCCCCGATTTTGTATTTTTATTTTCTGCGACGCACGTGTAGTCGAACCGTTATCTCCTCCCCGCGGAAGTCGATCAATCGTCCGATCTGATCCACGACGCGTAACGTTATATTGGTGACACTCCGCGCGATGACCGGAAGGTAAATGATCTGCGTCGGAGTCTCCGACAGCTTATATCCCGGTGGAACGTTCGACGCGAATTCGTGTATCGTGCCGGCCTGCCGTTGCTGTAGGCTCCCGCGGTGACGTTGCATTCCACGCAAATGATATTCACGCGCATAATATTCACCGGTTTATCGGACGCGTGCCATTTATTTGGCTCGAGTATGCGACGTGTCGAGAAACCTAACCTAACAAAGAACCAACGTTGTTCGATTTGGTGAAGTCAACTCTATAGGCACACTTGATTTCGCTTCTCATAGTGTTCTCGTTAGCGCGTAAAATTATCGAGCGTTCGCTTTTCTCGCGGTCATCATCGTTATCGTCCACGTATATGTAATCGTCTTTCTTCTTCGTACTTTTCTTGCGGAGGATAGCTGTTCTCAGGTATCTATCTATAGCGTCCAGTTCGTACGATCCTTCGGGAATAGCGATCACGTCGTTGTTGTCAAAGTAAAATCTATTGTTCGTGAAGTCAATGTTCGGTATCGTGTTGTACATCTCGAAATTCGCGAGGCCTATCTCGTATTCGCCGCCGCTCAGATCCAGAGCGGGAAAGTAGCTGGCTGAGAGGACGCTGCTTCTTCCGGATAGCGAGAGAGTCAGCGACATAGCGAGATTGTTTCTCCCTCTCTCATCGTCAGAGACGTTTCCAGTCGACGTCTCGGAGGAACCGCAGACACAATTGACCGCAGATGCTCTGATCGAACGTCTGATACGAACGACGGTTGTACACGATATTCACGTCACTCCCGAGATATCGTTCGAGTTCCCTCGGGGGTCGAAGATTTCCAAAACTGTCAAAGTAGATCGCGTTGTTGCCCCTCTTTGCATAGGCGACCCAGTGCGTACCCGGGCCTTCCTCGTCGTCGAGATTTACTATTCCGCTCTCGTCGCGACGCACTTTCGTCGGCAACGCTTCGCGCATAAACACGCCCCTAAAGAAAGGTATCGCGAAAGGCGCGCGGACCGATTCAATTGCTCGTTCGTCGTGACGCCGAACGTCGGCAAATCGAGCGTCATCAGTGTCTTTTTCGGCGATTGTTTTTTTTTTTTACACGTTCTCGTTCGTTTTCTGCTCGTCACGCCACTACCGCGTTTGTACGACGCGAGATATAGTCCGCGACGCTCCAACGCACGATTGTGACGTTGCAGTTCCTCGAGCTGACGTTGAGCGGCCTTATTGTCGCTCACCGCCTTGGCCACGCCAGCCGCTCCACCGATCAGGGATCTGAGCGCTCCCAGTATCGGTAGAAAGGGTAGGAGACCCCCGCGTTTCGCCAACGGGAGAATTTTCTTCCTCGTTACCGCTCCCCTCTTCCTCTTTCTCATGCCCATGCCCAATTTCGTTTTTGTTTTCATAGCAGCCCATACGGCGGTCGCGGCGGCTCTCTCGCCAATGGTTGTGTCGCTCGCCGTGATACGCTCGCGCGCCTTTTTGGCTAGCGCTCGATCGGCGACGTGTCGATCTGCGAGATCACCGCTTCGCGAGTAAGCGATATCGTGCTCGCGACACGCCTCGTCCAACGGATTGATACCTCGATCACCGCGCGCTAGTCGCTTGGCGAGACAAGTACCCGGCCCGCAGAATTGATAGCCGGGTATGTGTAATTCGACGGGTAGCGCGTTTATCGCTTTGTTGAGGAGGCCGCTGCCAGTGCTTCGCGCCGCTGCGCGCGACATGCGCCGCAATCCCTTATGAGCGATGGTGGACCGTTTATGTGCGTTCTCTGCCACGGACGATTGTAATGTTCCAAACACGGACGACAGTCCCGTACGTCGGGATCCGTCCTCAGATGAACGGGTAGTTTGTCCCACAGTCGATCGACGTAATCGGAAAAGTTGCGCAGCAGAAAAATCTTCGGCACAAATTTCAGTTGCTCGGCGGACAGACCGAGAATATCGCGTTTATCCGCCAAGACGAGAAACATCGCGGTAACTGAGGGCGTATACCGATCGAACGTACGTATAAATAGGGCAAGTGTGCGCGCACGCGCGTAACAATGCAATTCGTGAGACAACCGTCGGCGATAGGAGTGTCGAATCTCGATTGCAAGACGCGACTGACGTCGGGTTTAACGTCGAGAGAAATGCGTCGACACGGCCCTTTTTTACCGATCGCGATACGTTGCGTCATCTGCGTCCCTTCCAATTGCGGTAAGACGAACGTGTTGATAAGCTTACTAGAAAGTCTGCACGGTCTGCGTTTCGAAAACGTATACGTGTACTCGAAATCTCTCCATCAGCCGATGTATCGTTACCTCGAGAGTCTGCTCGAATCGATGGACGAGATCGGTTATCGCGCGTTCTCCAATAATCGCGACGTCGCACAGTGGGAAATTCCGTGCTGTTTTTGGACAAAATTCTTGTGACAGCACAATTTTTAAGATATCCCGTTGATTTTTTTTTTTAATGCTCAGAAAGATTTGTGCATTAATGCAGTACTGCGGAAATATATTTGTCGCACAACGAAAATTGTTAAACATAGAGTGCAATCCAGTAAATATGAAATTCATGCAAAAAACGGTAATCCCTTCATAGACACAAGCTTCTAAGGTATAATTTAACCAAGATGGATATTATTTTAACTATGTTTCAAGTCGCTGATAACAAATTCAAGCTTTAAATTTCAAAATTAATTTGTTTAAACAAATTATCTCAAAGTAAGATGTTTTATAAATTTTCATTTCAAAATCTGTTGATACAATTACATAGAAAAAACATAGTAGGCCTTCAAAGTAATATCTTTTAGATCTAAATTGTTAATAATAATTTACGATTATTTTTTTAACCTAAAATATAATATCTCCTATATCTTTATTTAAAGGAATTAACGGAAGATCATCAAGCGAAATGAGTATAATTTTCATGATTTTTGATAGCTGATTACGAATTCAACCTCAGAATTGCAAAATTAATTTGTTTAAACAAATTTATTTAAACAAATTATCTGAAAATAATATTTTTTATAAATATTTATTTCAAAATCATTCTGCAGATGGAATTACATAGAAAAAATAGAAAAAGCCTCCAAAGTAACACCTTGTAGATCTAAATCTTGTGCTGTCACAAGAATTTTGTCCAAAAACAGCACGGAATTTCCCACTGTGCGTCGTGCCGCCGAGCGAGGCGTTCCCCGGTTCGATAATCGTGTTCGACGACATGGCCTGTGACAAACAGGACGCAATCAGGAAGTACTTTGCCATGGGTCGATATTCGAATATCGATTGTTTTTACCTCTGTCAAACGTACGCTAAAGTATCTAATACGCGACAATGCGAATCTGTTGATCCTGTTTAGACCAGACGGAACTAATCTAAAACACGTGTACGACGATCACGTGAGCCCCGATATGTCGTATGAAGATTTCTGCGCGTTGTGTCGCGAGTGTTGGCAGCGCAGGTACGGGTTCGTGGTGATAGACAAGGACAGCGCGCTACAAAACGGCAGATACAGACGAAGATTCAACGACTTTGCCGTACTGTAGAGCGATCAGTAGCTGTCGAACGTTCCGAGAGCGATGAGCGACGCGAAAGACACCGTTGACCGAGAGAAGACCGCGCGGCAGATCGCTAAAACGCGCGCGTCGATACGCAGAAAATACAGAGCGTTGAAAACCGGCAGTATGGAGAACGAGATGGCTCTCGAGAGACAATTCAAACCGATCGTCGACCCGTTGAAACAAATCGTCGAACACGTCAAAAGAGGCGAATCGACAATGCGGCGGCGGCGACGACAAAAGGTTTCGTTATTAAAAAGAAACGCGAGCAAAGCGAAGACGACGACGACGACGAAGGAAAAGTCGCGCGAAAAATAATATCGAAACCTAAGAAGAAAAAACAAACGAGCGCCGAGTCAGAGATGCTCCCGATCCACTCCACCCATGTGCGAATTTCAAAAAGGCTCAGTGCCGGCTTGGTACTGGTGCCAGAGTTACCAGTACTGGCTGACGACTCTGGGCCAGTACAAGCTAAGATCGGGGTCATTACTGGGGCAATGTCGGAATGATAACACGGGTCCCAGTCTTGGCGCCAACTTTGGCCCGACACAGAGTACTAGTACGGGGACAACACTGATTACCAATATTGGGCTAACTCTTGGCGCCAACTTTGGCCCGACACAGAATACTAGTACGGGGACAACACTGATTACCATATCACTCGCGGCGTGTTGCTTTCGTGCCGCGGTCGTTACCTCCGGCGCCGCTCGAGCAAAAAGTTTTCTAAATCCCCTTGCGGCGTGTTGCTTTCGCGCGGTTGTTACCTCCGGTCCCGAGCGAAAATTTTCTAAGTCGACCCAATACATCCCCAGTACTGAGCCGACTTTCGACCGTAAATCAATATCATTTCTGGCCTTATAGAGGATTCACACTGCGTCCGATGTTCGACGTACGACGATCCGACATCCAATAAGAAATTTTTGTCTCTAATAATAAATTCTGTTATTGGATGTCGGATCGTCATACGTCGAACATCGGACGCAATGTGAATCCTCCATTATACACGGTCAGTACTGAGACGAGACTCGCCTCGGAACAAAATATGGTTGGGAAACGATGCTCCCCGCATCGACTTCGTTGTACGTGCCTTTTTCGTGTACGTATTCCACAAACGTTTTACATATTCGTACGGA